AGTTCTTGTTAGTAAATTTGATTATGCCCCTGCACTCAATGGTAAATTGAACCCTTTGTAATATTTATGTAGCAACAGGAGTCAACAAGGTTTTGATGAGCCGCTGTCAAATTATTACCATTTATTTATGCTTGAGGCAAAGCTTTAAATACGCTAGACTTGGATTATGCAGCACTTCAATCCCACATCCAATATATTGCATGGATGATTACCAAATAGCTGTTTAAGATAATGTAATTATATATATTTATGAAAACTGTATACAGTGTGTGCTTCTTCAATAAGTGTGGCAGATATGGATGCCAAGGTTTGGAAAATATGATTAGAAAACAATCATTTAAATAAGGATAATTAAGAATAATTCTCTTATTCTTATTCTAAATTTCTTATTCAAAGTCATCTCTGTGATATACAGTTCTCCACATTTATCTTAATACTATTTGAGCTTCCTATTAAATCTTAGTATTTGTCTTATAAAAAAGCTGTTTATTGTTGAGCTTCTTATGAGTAAAAAGTTATGTTATTGAGAGGCATCAAAAATGCAAACAATTGAGTATTGAACCCATAACAAATGCTATCGGTTCCAATACCTAATGTATGTGTTTTAGCACCTCTGTATATTACAATAACTCCCTCAGTTTCAACAGTTTCAGTGAGTCAGATTCAGAGACTTGGAACCTACCCAAATCATTAACAACTTTGTACAATCAAAAGATTTTTCCACATTGAAGTTCTGAATCATGTTTTACTTAATTACTAAGTGTAATTAATGTTTGTCCATCTCATTCTGCTAGAATGAAGCAAGTTTGAGAAAATGCTTGGAACTAACCTTGTGTCCTCATATTCAAAAATGTAGAAGACTTTGATCAAGTTCTCTGTCATTGTCCACTACAAGGACTTAAATGTTTGAGCTCTTAACAATTTTTCATCATAACTCATGTCTTTTGAGCACCAAAAATAGTTACTGTTCCGTTGAAACATCAATAAGATATTTATGATTTTTATGATGATGATAAGGCATTGTACAAAATCAGCAAAATATGAATTTCAGTTTTATACCCTTGCTGTAAATACAATATATACTGTAGAAGAAAACCTGCTATTTACCCTTTTCATTGCTTTTCATCACATTTCTTGCATTATTTCAGTTGAGCAGTACATGCTTTCAATAAAGCTACCCCAGGGCTATGTCTGCTCCAGTGTCACATTCACACTCTTATAAAACATTTGCTTTTTCAACACTTACTGTAGTATTTTCTAATATTGAATTTCATTGCTCCAAACACTTGTCTATGTCTGTATCCCATTTATATCTGTGGAATATTTCAGCCTCAGTGACGGATCTTTCCTTAGTCATTATAGGTCAGTCAATGTGGAATGATTATTGTTTATATCCTGATCTGGGTAGTTAAAAGACCAATGCTTACTAAGAACTATGTATGACGTTTAAATTTAATGCAAAAGTATAAAAGATTATTCCCCCTTTCCTATGGTTTAGTCAATAAATAATGTATACGCCTGAAAAGTCACTGATATTTAAATGGCAAAACTAATCATTGTGAAGTACTGTGAATTAGATTCTAAAAATCTCCTCTGGTGATGATGGTAATTATATGAAGCACCTTTAAAAGCAATCATTAAGAATATAATTAGAACTCTTTAAAACGATTCCTTTGAGAAGGTGAAATGGATACTGACTAGCACAAATACCACAATTGTTGGGTACTTTACTATTTAATTTGTAATTTTGTATCTGTTTTTATCTGTATCTGACTGCATGGATGTCATGTAATTGTTGTTAAACAGAAAGGGTTTTCCTTCTTTGCTTGTTTGGCCTATTAGAAGGCATGTTTATACTAAGCCAAGGGTACTTTTACTATATTTGACTTAGGAGCTTGGATTCATTTTATATACCACATCCCTACAGCTTGATTAAATGTAATTGTATATAGTATGCGCTTCTTGGAATAGCTTATGACTGGATAATATGTGTAATGTTAAGTATAACTTTTGTCCCTGAAAGTTTTGGTGAACCAGTTTTTATAAGTTTGATTTTTTTTAAAAAAAAATTAAAACAAATCAAAAACAGCCCCCTGGGCAAGACTTAGACAGCTACAATACTGTGTAAAGAAAGGATTTTTGAACATCCTCTGTATTCTGCACACCATCACTGCATCAGTGGTAGAGACCTTCATAAATTACTCATTTATTTTGATGCTTTTATCCAAAGCAGCTTATTTAGCCACTCATTCACACAGCTGGCTATTTTAATGGAACAATTCAGGTGAAGTACTTTGTTCACATTCCTCGGATCTGAACCCACAACTTTGAATCCTAACCCCTGCTGCCCAAAACGGCCACAACTTTGGTGCTTCCGAATAGACCTCTGTTATTATATAAGGTTTTGTGACTTGGCTAACAAATTAAATGTTTTATATTTCATTACACATTGAAGCTCATTAATGCATACTGTATCTTTTTCTCCAGAAATAGTTGGGGTTAGCAGGGCAGTGGGCATTGGAGGTTTCTGAGTCACGAGCAGTGCAGTGTTGCGCAACATTTAATATGAACATCCTGATTTTATGGGCTCATCATGCTGTCATTTTGCCAGTCGCCATGCTGACTTTTGCTCATATTACTGCAGAAATCATTTTGTAAGGATATGCAAGTCTGGCACTCCATTCTGTCCAGCAGCAGGATCTTGATCAAATAGGTTCTTTATTCACTTAATTGACCCGCAATTACGTACTTGGCCCTTCTGCTGACAATCACTTAAATAATTAAGGATTAGCTGGAACAAAACCTGCCCTTGCATCCTTTAACATTTGTAACCATCAGTTTCATACACAGGTCATCTCTTTAGTTTAAATTATTTTAAGCACAGCAGTTCTAACATTATAAATAGTACCACAGCCCGATATGTATATGTCTCTTTTCAATCAGATACATCTTGAATTGCTTCTTTCTTGCTAATGCCAATGATATTATAATTCTCAGAAGTATAATAAGAAAGAACTTGTTTTTAATGTTTCTGTAAATTAAACATAAACATTCTGTAGTGTTTATATTTTGAATTTAGTCAATTTTATTTTTGTTGAAAATACAATTAAATGTCCTCAACTACATAAGAAGGCTCTTTTTCATATACAGTACAATACTTGATTCATCCTAAATCATAGTCATTTTTACACTACCAGCCATATCACCCTGCAGCTCACAACTGGTATCCCACTGAAGCTCAGCATGTGTGTACCTGGATGGGAGACCTCCTGGGAAAACGTAAGGTCGCTGCTACAAGAGGTATTAGAGGGGCTAGTTCACCCTGTGGTCCTGACTCTCTGTGGTCATTAAAAATTCCAGGGCGTTTCTTGAAAACAGTATTTCCCATTGGCCTTTATCAATCATGGCCTCCTAATAATACCTATTTGTGAAGTGGCTTCATTACTCTATTCTCCTCCCCACTGATAGCTGATGTGTGGTGAGCGTTCTGGCTTACTAGTGCTGCCGTCGCATCCTCCAGGTGGATGCTGCACATTGGTGGTGGTGGAGGGGAGTCCCCATTACCTGTAAAGTGCTTTGAGTGGAGTGTCCGGAAAAGTGCTATTTAAATGTAAGCAATTATTATTATTATTCATTTAACCAGTTTGATTAATCCCATCGGTTACCACAAACGGAATAAGCTGGACAGAGTGACCATACACCATAGAAATGTGCTTATCTGCTTGCCTTTGAATGCAATGAATGTTGCTGGTTATAATGAGTGACACTGACTAGTTTAGCCTTTATTTGTATTGATACAGCCTTCTGTCTTTGTTTCAGTATGTTGACTATGGATACTATATTGTCTCGTCCTGTTTTTGACTCACCACTTATTTAATCATGATTTGATACCTCTTGTAAATCTAGGGACATAGCATAAGTTGCTGGCAATAGGCCTGTCCTTGAGATTCATAATAAACTGTAGTGCTAATAAAGAGCTATTTTTAACCCAATATAAAAAAGTGATTCTGTCAAGCAATAAAAAACCTCAATTCATTAAAATCCTACATCAAGATGCACCATAAATCTATTCTAATGCTTTAGAACAGCATCTCTTATCATTATAGAGGAAAGTTTGTACAATTTCTTCCACAGCATCGGGTCTTTGCATGCTTTATTTGACTTGTGTTTACATTTATTTCTTTAAATCCTTTAGAAATATGCAGGCAAGGACAATATTAAGTCACGTTTATCTACAAATGTGTAAATATAAAAAAATAAGTGAATTTACATGAAATTGAATATTTGATCATAGTGTTTAATCAATTTGAATGTTCATGTCCTTAATGAAATAGCAGATGGAAGGCTCTCACCCCCCTTATGATGAATTGATTTCCCGAGATATTTGTTGCATTTTGTCTCTTTGCTCCATTCTACACTATAATCGGCTATTATTTGAATGTATATAAAATGTATGGGGAAATTAAATGTAAACCTGCCTGTTTATGCATTGTTCATACCATGAAAATTGTTTAATTTCGTTAAAATTAAAGCTTTTGCTTTAACATTGACTTTCCTTTATCCATTTTGTTTAACAATTAATTTACTTTCTTCAGCCTTTAATTTAATCAGGTAATTTCGCCCTTACTGTTATTGTTATTCACAGCCCTACATGTTACATTTTCACGTTTTCGTTTACGTATAGAATATGGTTATCTTTTTTGTTTGCCGTTACCCATTTTATAATTGACAGCAAACGAGGGACTATGTGTGTAAAACTGTTATCGTAAACCTTTCCCTGCTATTCAACACACATGGCACAAAATGGCTTTGGGGCTACCTGAACGCTAAACAAATAAATGCCATAAAGAATCGTGTAGCTACTTCCGCTTTGTTAAAATCCTGCTGTGAAGGTTTCAGCACGATTTCCCATTATTGCATCCTCCTGGTTAGTCTTGAAGTGGTGCCAAGATACACATAATTAGACGAGCACTAGGACCTTGCGGGAACAGGCTGTTGTTTCGGGGCAGGATTGTAAATGCGCCATGACTCCGTCTGTACTGATCTTTTTACAAAAGTGAATGTTCCTGCGTTGTGAGGCCCATTTCTGTCAGACCCCCTTTTTCGAAAAAGACAATAAAAACACACAGGTGGGTGATTAGCTTGCAAACACCCTTCCTATACAGTATCCTACAGTGCTTTGCGGCAGTAAACGTGCGATTTCTTTTCTGCTGAAGGTCATCGGCAGTATTTTAATCCCGAATTTCATTCTGTGTCTGATCTCATTGCAGCAAACCAAGATGGAGTATGAGTGGAAACCAGACGAGCAAGGACTTCAACAAATTTTACAGCTTCTGAAAGAGTCTCAGTCTCCGGATACAACGACGCAGAGATCCGTCCAACAAGTATCCTTTTAAGAATAGCATCATAAGATGGGCCCATCGGATAAGATTTGCGGTGTTTATGCTGTGCTGGATATATAATTTGAGGTTTCGTTAACAAGCGGGATGGAGAATTAAACCACACTTTTATACTTGCCATTGACGATTCATTCACTATCGAGCTCTTTTTTGAACGATTATATAAAGTTGGTTATCCCTTTTGTCTTCACCATTTTATGGTTTTGGAAGATGATCAGTTTTTCTCGACTTGGGAGATTTTTTTGTTGGGGGTGGGGGTAAACAATACATAGCTCACTCACTATAAGTACTGGTTGCCAATTCGCTTTATTTTGTAACTTGTTTTGATTCATGTTTCCGTGATTATATACTACTGCCCCAAATATTGCCATTTGTCACAGTCTGGATTAAGAAAAGCTTTAATGCACGTTTAAAATACATGTGCGGGTAAACTGGAGTACGTGCATGTGCTACAGAATGTAAAGACAGACCAAACGTGCCCTATGTGTAATACGGGTGTCGATGACAGCATTTCGTTTTCTTGGCGGACAATATATTAGTAGCACTCGCACCAGAGTTGTGCAATTTAATAACATGTACTTAACTGGGAATAAAAAATAGACCTGCTAAACTGCGGTCGCATTGTTTTACATTGGCTGGCTGTATCTATAAGGCAAGGGAAATAACCTTTTGTATAGCAACGAAAAGTCGGGAATTTGTCTTTACGTAAACATGCTAGATTGCGTTTTTATATGCGCCTTCTTAAACGTTATTTAAAAAGCTTATCACCAGCGTCATTTGCAGCGAGTTCATCTATCTCCATCACTTGTCTTCCAGTGCATAACTGGGATGCTAAATGTTTAATCCTTTGAGTGGAAATACTTGATAAAATTATTTTTTCTTGGTAAGGGGGGAATATGAGAATACCGTTTACATGATCGGGCCTCAGTGGCATGAAATTGTGACCCAATAACGAAATAAAAATAAAAAAAATGGTGAGAGGTGGCTTAGGAAATACGTTCATAAAAGACACCTCTTGTGTAAAAAAAATTGTTGACCTCGTGCACTGGGTCAGTGATCTGGTTAAGCAATTGTACAGTATTAAGATATTTTGTGTATGCCCTTAATACATAAATTCTGGGGGGGAATCAGTTCCAAACTGATTTTTACAGTGTATACACAGCGTTCTGGTTCGGAAAACTACTTGGCTCAGGATTTTGTTGCACTCGAGTCACGGTTTTCAGCTCATTGCCTATTATTGAGAACTTTGTGAATCGAAGGTAAATCGCTGCTTGGGGCGTCTTTCTGTGCACGGCTCTACAGAGATTCGGCCACTGTCGCCTATATCAGGAGTGAAAAGACCAGTCCTCAGGTTCTGGAATCTACCAGGTGTCCTCGGTCTAAGTTAAACAAACTTCACTTGGGAGAAGTATTAAATTCTTCCAACTAAGCTTTAACTCGACCTCCCTTTGCTGCAACGTTCACCTGTTAAAAATTTAAAGAGATCTAGAAATTCTGTTTGAAGGGAACTTCTGATCTGTGATCATGTTCTTGTTTGAATGATCAAATATTCCTTTAAGTTATATTGATTTTTTTTGTGGGGTGGGAGTTAATATTCCTTATTATAATGTGGTAATAAGAGTATGCTGTGTCACCTCCCATCTTTATGAAGGTGTTACATCTTAAAAACAAAGTCCCATGCACAGTTGATGTTTTTGAGATTGCTGAGGAGGAGGTTGCTAATTTGGATAGTCTACAGGTATATGATTCTTGGAGGAAAGGATATTGCATGTTTTTTGACAAAGCAAGAAATATAGCTGGGTGTTCAATTGAAATAAATAGCTTAGTATCCATCTTACAATGGTAATTAAATCAGTTTTATTTTTTAACAGCTGTATAAACATTAACCAGACTACCATATCCTGTTAGTTTTGACTTCTTAGCTCATATTTCTGCAGCCTTCTTTATGACTGTGTTTTTTTAACTGAAGATTAGCTATTAAGATAGAAATAGTGCATAAGACCTAAAAACAGTCTGCCAGTTGATACGTGATATAGGCTGTGACCACCAAAGATATAGCAAACCTACGGTCTTGTTTAAATTCTAATTTGAGAGATGCCTTTAGAACTTACTTGTGGCCTTTGGAATGGTTTCTTTTTCATGTAAATTTATTTTTTGCACTTGTTCAAAGTCTTATTTGCTGCAGTTAAGTGTTGACGTGACATTGTTCATATGACGAGTACTTTGCATAACTCGGTTCAATTTACTTGTTTGACAAACCGTAAGTAATATTAGCAAGTCATGAATGGTTTGCCTGCAGTCTGTATTTGATTTTATGTAGGCATATTTTATGTTGCATTACATTTAGCTTGAAAGCATTAGTTGGGTTTGTATTATACTGGCTTATAGTTGTAACTAGTTTGGCCTTTTAACCCCTGTTGTGATGTGTGTATGTATATTCATGCATCTTTCCTGGTGAATAGGTAACAACTTAATTGTTGGATTTTTAATTTATTTCCTGAAGCTGTAGTTATAAAAATATTGCCTGTGTTAAACACAAGCCTTAGGGGAACCACTGTTGCTTTGTGGATTTGTTGCTAATTTTACCTCTTGCTTACATTTAGCTTTTCCTGCTTAGAGATACCTTGCTTTCTCTAAAGATCTGATCATCTGCTCTCTAAAAATACTGTCGGAAGATGATTTTATAGGAATGCTGTCCGGTAAATGCACTGCCACCTTTAAGTTATCTTCTAATGTAGAAATCCAGTATTGGAAGTTATGGTTGTTGAGGTCCTTTAATTCACATGCAGTAGCATTACCACAACATGTAAAATGATACCTCTCTTGACTTGTAAGAACTCAAGAAATCCAAAATGAGCTACTGGAGCTGAATGGCCTGTTTCTAGATAATTAATCTGAGGATCTCATCCATCTGTTTCTCAATAAAAGCTAAGAGTATCACCTTCAGTGTCCCATAAGCATTTGTGTAAAACAATTGTTCCCTGTTCTAAGTTTTGCTTGTTTTCCTACAGTGTTGTAAGTGGAATGTTATCCTTATTACACTGTTCTCCTTAACCTTACTGATTTTTCAGAAACTTGAGCAACTAAACCAATATCCTGACTTCAACAACTACTTGATTTTTGTCCTCACAAAGTTAAAATCGGAAGGTAAGGAAGAAGTTTTTTGGTTGATGTGGATTTCTTGTGAATGTTAACTTGTTTCACACAATACAGTATTTTTAGTAGTTCTGCAGTTAACTCTGAGTGTTTAGCCCTAAAAATGGTTTGCTGGGTTAGAGTATTGTCAGACATACTCTGACCTGTTGATTAGTCATTTAAATTTCACTCTGTCTCTATAAATGTTAGATATCTCTATTAGTAAAACTGTTCAAATTGCACATATGCAGCAATAATGAAATAACAAGGACTCTGATCAAGAGAGGCTCGATGCAGATTATTGGTGAAAGGAATGGTTTTATGTTGATCAAAAAACCACAGTGCAACAAAACTTGACATGCAGAGCTTTTTTAAGGTACAGTTGAAGATCAGTGTAGTTTTCTAAGAACTGCATTTGATTTCCTTAGTGTCAGAAATGTCAGTGTGGTAAATATTTTCATAATGGATCCATTGATGGCTTCTAAAAATAATTAGAAACTTAGTCAGTGAGGTCTTTATTTGGTTCAGGAAAAGTTGCAGGAGTTAATTTATGTTTATATTTGAACCTTTGTTTGATTTTGTATGGTAGATTAAGTGATACATATTTCTTCAAAAGTACTTGACAAACCACTTGTTATAAATCTTAAATGTTGCAAGCTGTTATTTAAACCCTTAAACTTCATAATCGGTATGTAGAATTCTGTTATAAATGTCTTGTACTTTGATCCCTAGATATAGGAGCTGCTTTTTACATATTGTTTGTCACATTTCCTGGAGTTTCAAGCAGCAGTGCACAGAAAGAAGCCAAATAAAACATCTGGATCACATATAATTGTGTAATATCAACTGAAAGTTCTTATTCCTCTTTAACAGACAATCACAATTTTGGCACTTTGGTTACATGGGAACCTCCTTGTTTTTACTATGGTTTTACCAAGTATAACAAGATTTCAGGTGTGGTGGTTTTAATAACTGCATCATACCACCTGATTGCTATGAGAAAGTCAGTTGATCTCATTTGTCTAACATCTGCCTGTGTGCTGCATGTTAAGTTTAATTGGGCTTTAAAACAAAAGTATCTTAAGTTCAAATCTAATTGTAGTCTGGTCTGAGACAGCCATCTTTGTTCACGATGTTCAATTTAATGTAAGCATGTAATTAACTCCTAAAAAATGCAGGTGGGTAAAACTACTTTGCACTGGGCAGAGCCAAACTGCCACCAACTGTGTTCATTATATGTTCTTGGAAATCTTACTGTTATTGATGTTGTATGTGTGCTTTGTACTGTTTGCTTTGTGTAATAGCAAGGAATTTAAATTATAGAAAAGCATTGATGGAATAAATATCTTTGGACTTAGCAGCTGAGCGTAGAAATTTCTAGGTGTCAAAGGAGGATACGGGATCTAATGCAAAGACAACAGCTCATGATAAATTGATACTCATCATGACCATAAGATGTTGATCCATTTCTGTCATGTGGCCAGCCTGTGCTGTGATGGCGGCGGGCTGTTTTAAAAAAAACCCCGTGGCATGTGAAATTTCCAAGGCGTGATCCAGAGATCTTGGGAGCGTTCCCAGTTGATGTGAGACGTTTGCAGATGTCGAAGTGAAGGTCATCGTCGGCCACACGAGCAGACCTTCAGCTGATGCAGAACCCCAGAGTGTCTGCTGAAGAGTTGTCGCTAGATCTCATAATGACCAATGAAGGCAGCACTTGAGGTTGGAGTTCCACCCCACATGAATGTGAATCGTGTGATTTGTCTTTTTGCATCTGGGCACCTTGGATGTCTGTCGCACTGTTCCTCCCCATGTCGAGTGATGGAGGCTTGACGGAAATGCCAGCTCTGGTGGCTTAAAGGCAACAGAGGGAGATTATCGAGAAGGGCTGTTTCAACGCCAGTGTTACTGCTCAGACCTTTAGGGTGGTTCTTGCTTCTACCGGTTAGCATTAAACTGAGGAATTTAAACATCGAATAATGTCTCTTGGCTCTTACTGAAGCAGGCAGTCTACGCCTTCCTCAAAGACAAAGGAATTGAAAGAATGGAGTGACCTGTCAGGTTAAAGGATGTCGCCTTCATTGCCTGCGTCTGAGATGACCTTTGCATTTTGGCATTGCAAACAGTTCAACAACTGGTCCCTGCCCTGGGAGAAAGGTGGAGGAGAATCCCGGTCTTTTTTTTTTTTGATTGACAGAATAATTTATTGTTCTGGTGAAGCATAGGGTAGCTGTTCGCTGTAATAAGTGATCCCAGAGCACTCGCCAGTAACCTTGGTTTTTACTCTATATTGCATCGCTATTGCATTGTTACCTTGGTTTTTACTCTATATTGCATTGCTATTGCATCGCTAAGGCAGTGTTTTGCTTCATTTGCTCATTTATTTGCTTTTGTTTTTTTCTGTTTCAGTTGTAGTTCAAGATATAATACTAATGCATATGTGTGTACTCAGAGGCCTGGTTTGTTTCTTTGTGTGTTCTCAGTTTTAAAATCTAGACTGCAGCATCAGTGGCTCTGAAATGGATTTCATTCCTGTTGGGGATTTTAATTGTGCAAAACAGACATCTGGTAGCCTGGCTTAGCGACCTCAGCCACTGTTCACCCTGCAGCTGAGATTTTTTTATTTTGGAAAAGCCATTTCATTCATTGTTTTTGCTGTGACCTTTGGTTAGAACTGGGCTCTGGATCAGTGTTGGCATTTGTTGATGAGGTTGGGTTTAGACGCTTGGGGTATTCTTTTCATTATAGAAAAAAAATACTGTACATTTCTTTCAGGATTTCCCAGCTTTTCAAATGATTCAGTTACTTTTTTTTTAAATTAAGTCTTGCTTGTTACCAATAGATCTTGATTGTCAATCAGATAGCTATATTAAAAAATACTTGGGTGATTATAAAATGACTTGTTTTTGTTGCTGCAGTTTTTGACAGTGGATCAGATCTTTGTTGATTAAGGAGATGTATTTCAGTACATCTTCCATAAAATTTACACTGTTCCCTAATTGGTATCTTCTTACAATTTTTAGATTAAATGTTTTTTTAAATCTATCTGTTTAAAAACATTGTCACGTAATTTTACTTTAAATTGCTTAGCGAGACACAATTGCTTTGTCGTATTGGACATTTTTCTTATCATGTGGCATAAGTAACATGGAATTCACCATGAACAATTTGCTCATAGAGGTCAGTGGATGGTGAAAGTGTCACTTGACAGCTGGACTTCCCATTTGGTGATGCTACGTTTTCTTCTAAACATAAAATTGGCTGTAATTTTAGTTTGTTGGCTCTGTTGATTATAGAAAAATGAGTAATAAACGAAGCGCAAATTGAGGGAAAAGGCAAGGGACTGCCATCACCATAGCCAGCAAAGTCTCTTCATCTCGCTGATTAGACGAATCCTGTGGTCACAACAAGCTTTCCTTCATCTCTAGCCTAAGGTGACCGCCATATGGATGTCACATGTTTTTGGTTGCCTGAAGACGGAGTTCTGTAGTTCTCTGAGATAAAATAGATAATTTGCTTAAATTTAGTCTCACTGGTTGTTTGTCATCACATACCCTCCCAGTTTGAAATGTGTTGTTCATGAGCTGGGCTCCCCAGTACGAACCTCGTACCAGCACAAGGAGAAGGTGGACTAGGAGGACTTTCTTACATAAACACAAACTGGTTAGTGGTGTTGCCCGTTGCAAACACTGGGGTCCTCCAGTGTTGGAGATCTCTTGCTGTCAGGCACCAGACAGGTCTTAGGATCATTGGTGCTCAAGAAGGCATCCAGCTGTCCTCCCTTTGGTGGCGCTTGGTCATTTCTGTGTACCATGGTTTTGGGAATCCAAGACAGTTGACTTGTGGAAATGCCTTATCTGGAACCAGTGATGTCCGAACTGCATTCTGAACTGAGACCTGTGTGGCAAACTAAAAATAAGAACTTTACCGGCCAGTGGGAATAGGCTGAATTAAAAGTATCACACAGATTAGCATTAGGGCTGCAGTTCTTACTTCTGCCTTTTTTGGTTTCTTAGAAAATAATCATAAGATAGTGCCCCACAAGTTTTGAAGTAACGGCAAGCTTGTTTTAATTTTCAATTGACTCTTTGATGTAAGAGGAGTCTTTTATTGATCAATGTTGTAATTTACTGATTTTTAAAACCTTCAGGTGCTCTAATGAATTTGGACTCTTCTGTTTTTAAAGAGTCATTTAAACTCCAGTACCGTAAGTATACAGAGTTACAGCAAAGTGAAGGTCACATGTTTTTGTTGTGTTGTTTCATCTTGGAAATATGCAGAAAATATATATATATTTACTTATGGATTTCTCTGTGCATGAATACTTTGGTTTTGGCCTTTCGAGAACATAAGACTACAAACAATAATCCATCTTTTTTTTTTTTAGAAAAGCTGGGGTATCGGCTCCAACAACATGGTTGTGTAGCTGTTTCCATCCTTACACAACTGTTTGAGGCCTTCATCTGATTTAAATACATTCAGAACTTATTTACAGCCTTTACGCTTTTCTGTTAAAAACAATTGAAAGTGTGTTGTTCATTACCAGGCTGGCTTTGTGGTCTTCCCTCCATTTTCTGTATATATCCCTGGAGATAACAGCAAACAAACAGTTTTTATTCACTTGAGAAATGTAATGCATTTTCTCAAAGGAGTTGTTTTGCTGCCTCCTGAAAAGCTTCCTGCTGCATTTAGCTCCAGATAGGCTGGATTTGCATTCAGCAGCAATAGTTGAAAGAGTATAGATAAAATTTTGCAATTTGCTGCAAACTATATTTATCTCGGTAAAAAGATGTGAAATACACAAGGTCAGTTCATTTTCCTATCCTGACTTGGTAATTCCTTTTGTTTCCTTTATCTAAAGCAACCCTTTATTTTAAATATTAAATTTAGAATGCACTGAAGAATGGAGAATGAAGAAATGTGTTTTTCTGTTCTGTAAGAGATGCTTGGATGTTAAAAAAAACAGACGTGCAGGGCTGGACATTAATATGCAATGCCTAACCTCCCAGCTTTTCATGCATCATTAGTAATATTTCAGTTTTGCTATAAGATGTAAGTGTTTTCAGATGGTTGTTTTTTGAGTAAATAAAGGTTTTAGGAGTTGTACCAAGAAAGCTCTTACAATTGCTGCCATTTGAGACGGCTCAAATGCCACTGCTTCAGTGCTAATTTAAGATTGTCAGCGTTCTCTGCATAGTGTCTGGCTCTTTGATGTTACAGCACCCTGTGGAAGGTTTCTTTGTTTTAAAATACAGTGCACAGAGCTGGGCAGATAGACAAAAGGATGCATCAGAGACTCACGTCTGGCTGTTGTGTAGAGCTTTTTATTTTTGAAGGAACAGTACTAAATCCTTGGTTGTAACTTGGTATCAGGTAATAAAATATTCAAAGGAGATGCATATTACTGCAGTGAATCTTAAGTCCTTTGTGCAGTTTACAGTGCCTGCTTTGTCACCAAAAGGGCGTGTTACTCACAGACTATTAGGTTGTATTTTGTTACTGTAGAGTCCTATTCCTTTTCAATCAAGGAAAAGCCTTGGAAAGCCAGACATTTTCTCCTTGTTTGTGTGACTCTTGAGTTTTTTTTGGGGGGGAGGGGGGGGGAATTGAACCAACTGCATAAAAAATATTTTTGGCGATTATTTTGGTGGTTTTGTAATTGCAGTATTGACATGATTTACACATCTGGTTAGTTGCAAATGCAGATGACGATGTTCTCGTTGTTGTCCAGAAGAGAAATTAAGCTGGTCATTGACCGTTGTATTAGTTTATTCTGGAGCAAGATAAGAGACATCTTGCTATCAAATCCATTGAGTGGAAACTGTTGTTATACCTCATCCAGCTGGGGATCAGTGTGATTGTACTAAAACCATTCTAATTCCCCTTTGCACAGCTGCTTGCTAAAATATTAGCTGATTTTAATTTTCAGGTTGTTCTGCCTTAGGGAGGTTAAATAATATTTATAGCCAGACCCTGACATTTCAGTTATCTAGTACCTGCTTTATCTAAAATATTATGAAAGGAAGGATTTCACAGACGTTTGCAATCAAAAAACAGCTTGTAGTAATAATGTAAATGAATTGCAGCCAGGGACTGTCATTTATATTTGATTGAGGCAGGTGTGCTGTTTTCTCAATACCTGAAGATATATTGTTCTCTTCTACTTTTGTTCACAGATGAGCCCACAAGGTCCCTGAGTGGTCTGATTCTGAAAAACAACGTCAAAGCCCATTTTCACAACTTCCCCAACGGAGTGTCAGACTTCATTAAAAATGAGTGTCTGCAGAACATAGGTGATTCATCCCCACTGATTAGAGCCACTGTGGGTAAGTTTGCTCAGTGCTTAACTAGAGGTTGTGGAAGTATTCTGGCTCCTAATTTATGTGATGACTGGTCATCTTTATGGAACAAGAAAACTGATGAAGGAGTAATTTATCACCTCTATCAGCTGGTTGGATTTTTTTTTGCTCTTGTCCTATTAAATGTGTGGTGCTGCTGTAAATGTTGGAGAGATGTTTAGCACATCTTGACTCAGAATTATGAGCCCAGTAATTGCACATGGGGGAGCATAAGGAAGTGTGGTCTGACGCCAATGACACTCCCACCGTTACTCACCCTTTAACACATCACAGGCTTCGTAGTGCCTGTTTGAGGACGGGTACGTCTCTCTGCCGTAGTACGGCAACCCTGCAAGGGCCTGAGAAGCCACAGGGGGCGCTGTTGCCCAGATTGAGAAGAGCCTTAGGTAGTGCTGAGGCAAATGGGTGCTGCAATAGTGAATCCCAGTCACAGTCAGCTAGTGAGATAACTGGTTCAGACCCACAGTGGTTGGATCATAGAGCTCGGGCAAGTGTCTTAATCTGCAGAAACAGAATGTATGGCAGGATTGTTTGTTACATTCAGCGTTGTGGAGTATAAGAAAAATTGAAGAGTATACATATTTATTGCAGCTGCTTGTCAAGAGGGGAATAAAAATACCAGAACGTACTGTATTAAATTTATCTGCAGTTTCTTTCTTGCTTCTAAATTAGTTGGAAACCTACATATCTTTCCCATTTTGGCTCTCTTTTATCGAATGTATTTTCTTCATCTCTAATTCTGTTTGTATTTTTTTCTCTCTGGTATATCGCATCCATTGGGACCTTCCAGATTTGAGCAGCCTGTTTATATTCATCTTTCCCAGCCTCTCTTTAAAGAATAATTTAATTCAAAACTTAAAGAAGATTTTAATTGTAATCCTTTTTCATCTTCCAATCATTGTCACCTTCAGTTCACTCGATTACAGCAAGGACATCTTTGTTATATAAATGCTGAAAGTAAAGCCTACAGTTGCAAGCAAAAGTTTGTGAACCCTTTGAAATTACCTGGATGTCTGCATATTTTACTTATTAAAATGTGGTCTGATCTTCATCTAAGTCACAATAATGGACAATCACAATCTGCTTAAACTAACAACACAAAAAATTGTACTTCTTGTCAATATTGAACACATGTGAGCCCTTGTAATTAGTAACTGGTAGAACCTCCTTTAGCAGCAATAACCTCCACTGAACGTTTCCTGTAGCTGCTAATGAGACTTGCACAACGGTTAGGAGGAAATTTAGACCATTCCTCCTTATAAAACAGTTTCAGTTCATTGATATTTCTGGGATTCCTTGCGTGAACAGCTCTCCAGGTCATGCCACAACATCTCAGTTGGGTTGAGGTCTGGACTCTGACTTGGCCATTCTAGAACACATTTTCTTCTGTTTAAGGCATTCTGTTGTTGATTTACTCCTGTGTTTTGGGTCATTGTCTTGTTGCATCACCCAACTTCTATTAAGTTTCAGGTGAGTAGCAACAGTACTGAATTTCCTCCATTTCTAGACAGTTTGTGTTACTGTGGATTGATGAACACCCTGGCCTTTAGAAATGCTTTTGTAGCCTTTTCCATCTTAATGCATCTCTACAGTTCTCCTTCTAAGGTCTTCTGATATTTCTTTTGATTGGGGCATGGCGTACATGAACAGCTCTTTCTTGAGAAGAACAGACTTTGTCAGTAACCAAGCTTTGTGTGCCTTTTTTTATAGGGCAGGGCACCTCCAACCCACACCTCCAATCTCATCTCATTAGTTGGAACACCTGACTCTAGCTTTTGGAGAAGTCATTAGCCTAGAGGTTCACATGCTTTTTCCAACCTAAACTGTGAATGTTTAAACGATGTGTTCAGTACTGACGAGAAGCAGTACAATTGTTTATTAGTTTAAGCAGATTGTGTTTGCCTATTATTGTGACTTGGTTGAAGATCAGACCACATTTATGTGAGTAATTAATGCATAAATCCAGATAATTCCAAGGAGTTCACAAACTTTTTCTTGCAACTGTATAATATAAACTGGATTTCCTCTCAATTCAGCCTTGCAATCTTTTTTATTCAGATTAAATATAGCTGTGTTGTAGTGTTGCACTGTTAAAGCCCAGTTGTTGGGGTCAGAATTAAGAAACTGTGCTTTTAAGGGTCTTTTTTTCATTTTACTCTATATAATGAGTATAGGGAATGTGAATATGCAAATTAATGTTTGTATCTATTTATACATAAAAAATAGCCTATATATAATATATGCCCCTGTCCTGCTAGTTTAAAGTTTTCACCACTTTCATATTTTCTATAATAAATACTGTGAACTGTAAATAAAGTAAATTTATACTTCTGTGAAATTAGCTATTTTGAGCAATAAATGAAGTGAAGGTTTGGGGGTGATGTATTTTGCATGCTATATGTCCCTGTTTTAATTGAAATATGTGCAAATACAATGATGTAGAAACCAAAAAAATGAAATAGCTGGAAAAAAAGACTTTTCTGAATTGCAGTTCTGTTTCCATCAACATTGACACCTGCTAATTGCTGTGTCAATCTGAATGGAGATTGCGTTTTTTTCCATTTATAATTATTTTTTTAATAATCCTAAAATTAAAGTAATCAAATCACTTAATTTAGTCACAATGTGAAAGATGTATTAAGCCTTTGGGGTAATAAACAAGGGAGTGGGTGGGGGGTAATTAATGCATTGTGGCTGTGCTATAATTTAAAGGCTAAGTGTTTTAAATTCCTAAAATCTTACATTTTGGATAGTTATACCAGTAAATTGGTAGTACCTTTAAACTAAAAGCCCTGTGTTTCTGTAGTTTTTTTGGTACATAGCCCAGATATTCAGGTCAGAAATAAGCAAGTCTTTTTATAACATAATTCATTATAACGTTACCAAAATAACTTTAAATACAGGTAGGGGTTTTTCAATATTTAATTCTTGTTAACTAGACCAGTGTTTCTCAGCCTTCTATATCTCTTGGTATACTTACATAAATATAAAAATAGTGCGACACACCTCCTCCCTAAATACACATGTTCTTTGGCCATGGACATTATTATTAATATTGTAAATAAAACTTATTTCGATGTTTAATCCATTGTCATCCTCCTTGTCCCAGTGGGAATTGATGACCATGAAACACGTCATCTGTGTCTCTTTTGTGTTTTATGTCTGTCAGACGTGAAAACTGAACTCGCAGTTCTCTTGTGTGCAGTCTCAAAGCAAGGTCCCTGTTTAGAATTTGAATGTGCCGCACGAGACTTGTTACTTCAAAAAATCATTAACTAATTTTACTATTTTATATCTCTCATATGAGACTGAGCACTTTTTAATGCCTGAAGGTGTGCCAAAACCCACCATTTGAGAAACACTGGACTAGATTGGCAATTATTCTGTATTTATTTGCTGATAAGAATTTAACAATTTCCATACCTAATTTATGGATTAGAATTCTCTATAATTATTAATGATCTTGCAAACTGATTAAGCCTATGTTGGAAGGTTTGGGTGGGAAGGAGAAAAATATTGCAGTGTTTAGTAAAATCTGATTCTTGTTTTCTGAGCTCCTTCATTTTTAGTGATTTGTAATGGTTTTGAATTGGATGATACACAAACCTAGAGACTAATCAGTCTTTTTATTTCCTGTGGTTTTCCTTTTTTTAAAGGTATTCTGATTACAACTATTGCCTCAAAGGGAGAGTTACAGAATTGGCCAGAACTTCTGCCGAAACTCTGTGGTCTTTTGGATTCTGAAGATTATAATACCTGTGAGGTAAGGCGTTTCATCTACAGAAAGGAATGTGGTAGTTTATGGCTATGCTGTCCTTTCAGTATTATTCCAAATCAGTATGTTGAAAGAGGTGAATGGGGGAATGAGTAACAAATGCTATTTAATCTGATGTTCTTGGTGGGAAGGGTTTAGTACTAAGCTTAATGCTTTAGAAAAATCTGTAGCCCTACAGTAGCAATTACATTTTCAATTGCTGTACACTGCTGATTTCTTTAGGATTGGGTGTATCAGTGTTCAAATGACTCAGTATTTATGTGCAGCACATTGAACACCTCAGGATGAGTTTGCATTTACCAAGGTGAAAAAAGGCAGGATATATGGAGCTTCTCACACCGCAAGGTTTTGAGCGATTGAGAGAATGCAGTAGTGCAGCACAGCTGTTAACCATAGCGATTGACCTTCAGGATATTTAGAGTGTTTTTGGATACTTGTTATCAGAAGTACATTGTGAATAGACCTCCCCTCATCATTTTGCAAGACGAAGCGGAAACCTGCATACAGTAACTCAGAGTTAATGACAACGTCGTTGATTTATTGTTCCGAAATTGAAAGTTTTTTTTTTTTGTCAGGTCATGTAGAAAATGTGCAGCATGATGACTAAGTCAGAGATTGAGACTGTAAATGATGTTAAAAAAAAGCAGTATTTAATTTCTGTCAATCATTTACAGGCAGAGGTGTGGAGTTTAGAAACCGTGTGAAATGATTCTTGGATTTATGCATTCTTCCTTGGAAATCATGTTCCTAATCGCAAATAGTCCTTAGTGTGTTCCTGTAGAAATGAATTGCAGGAGCTCTACTATTTTTACTTTATAATTTCAATGAGTTACTGAGTGCGTTCAGTGAAAACCTGTGTAGACTCAGATTTAAAAACTGTTCATTCCTTGCCCAGTTATGCTTTTGGGCACATTTTTTTAATACATTTTCTCCCTTATTGGGCAAAGACTAATTCTGTTCCACTTCACGTGAGCATTTTAAAACTCAATTTAAAAATGTATGTCTTGGAACTCGTCTGCTGGTCTAAGTAATGCAAACATCTTTGAGGTTTCTGTTCATAGCTTTAGTGCTTGACTCAAGTTTAAGATTTAAGAGCAAAGCTTGTTATGTATAAGTTGAATGCTGGTGTGTAAAGAATTATGGAGGCATGTTATGGATGATAATTCAGTAGAATATTTATGAATATTGTGATTAGTTTAAAAGCAGTGTCTCTGTGAGCAGAATGAATGTTAGCTTTCAGTATTTCTTTAAAATGTCTTACTTTAATGTATTGCCTGAGCAGACAAAAGCAATTAGGACTTCGGTAATCCTTTTACCCCTGTACAGTTAAAAACTTCTATATTTCCAGGCAAATTTAATATTATACCCATTTGTATTCTCAGAATAGTGTCACCTGATTAGTTTAAGCAGTTCATTTCTGTGTGATACCAGTAAGGTAATCCTCCACATTAGTGGCTCTTTCATTTTCTGTTACTTAATGAGTGGGATTTAACTACAAAACCAATTTTTTAAACAATGATTATTGCTTTAGAGTCCCGTTAACATGACAGAAATAATATCACGATGGCAGCCTTAGTGATAATTCAACTGATCACTTGTCCTTAATTTGTTTTATGTGTTGAGTAGTTTACATAAATATTTGCAATAGGGAAGCAACATCAGTTTTCCTCATCATAAGCAAATCAAAACTGTGTACAGAAACAAATGATATAATCAATGTGAGCACAGTCATACCAGTTTGTGTTGTGATTACTTCATTTTAATGTGTTGACATAAACTGCATGTTGTGTCAAAACTCATTGTGATTCTTGTAGCACTATTCGAATGACATACGGTAGGAGGCATTGCTGTTGTAAGCTAGTTTGGGTAATTCTGAGTGTACTTTTAACCAGCTTAGCATTTTTACAATTGGAAAGTTTTTGCTTAACTAGGTGATGAAACGTGGAACCAGAAGAATTGTGGTTTGCAAGAAAATTATTTAAACTTGAATTCACTTCTAGAAAAACTAAAATTTGATTGGATTTGTTGAATGTTTTTTGGGATTTAAATGTATTTAAGTAAATCACAGTTCAAGTCACTTATAAGTAAACTAGGTAAATCAGCCATTAAGGGATCGTTGTGTTGGAAATTGAGGTAGTTTATCACATGAAGTTTGACTTTGAGAAACCATTAAAATCTATGACCTCAAAATTATATGTGGAAGAAAAATGGTAAGCTGTACCCAACTCATAAATCATATCTCTTTAAAAGATTAGAACATCTTGTAAGCTACAGTCAAATTGCTTTCACCATATTAAGTTTGCTTTTGTTGTGTATTTAGCTTTTCTAACTAGCTGCGGCAACAAAGGAAGACAAAAGAAAAATGCATTTTGTGATACAGTATATTGTTGTTCACTGCCTAATTTGTGATGATAAATGATATGGCATCACTGCAACAAGTGTTATAATGGTATCGTATTCTGTTGGCTGTACAAATGATTCTGTAAATGTCTCTTTTGATTGTAAATGTTTATGGAACCAATGATTCTCTTGTAGTTCACTGCTTTCTCCATACATGCTGCTGCAGTTGCTGGCTCTTTTTCACCTAAATGGATTCCAACTATTAACATGTTTCTTTCCCAGCTGGTTCAGTGATGGTGTGTAGCCGTTATCATACATAAAGCAAATTCTTTTCCATGCGGTGTTGATATCTGTGGGAGCATATCCCTAGATGGTATATAAACATCTGAATATAAGTTTGGTAAGATACGGCAAAATTAAACTTCTTGTTAATTGTACTGTTTGTGTAGTTATATTGCACTAGATATTCAGGGGGGTTTACTTGCTGTCAGCCATGTTGAGAATTGCCACTGTACTGCGTTAGGTGCTAATTTTTAAATCCTGCAGAAACTGTCAGAAGCCTTGGTTTAATAGCCGTCTAAAATATGTCTGAACCAGTAGGTTTTGTGACTTGAAAAGAGCTAGTTCCTTTTCATCCCATTCCAACTGTTGTGTGTGTTAGTACTTTTTTTTTTCCTTCAACGACGTGGGCAAAATGAACTGGTGTCAATTTGCAGCTTCTGGTGTGTCTGTCACAATCTAGCACTTAGTTCCTTTTTTCTTTGCCTCCTTAAGCTGTTGTCACACTACATGACTTTTCCAAGGATTTCAGTCGTAGCCTTTATTTACATAATCGTAAGAAAATCACAGTGAGTTGTAGAGTCGCGGTACGCACCTGTTACCATTGGGTATAGTGTGATACCCCCAGCGACTCACTCATAGCACTCTTAATGGCCCCTACGACACTCTGTGACTCGCTACGATAAAATCAAACAGGTTTGATTTTTCCGTAGTGAGTCACACTCTTGGTTCTGCGACAGTCAACAGCCAATAAGTGCTCAACCAGAAGTACAATGCACACAATGTGCCTGAAAGGAATGCAGGAAAGTGAGTGTTTTTGACTGTGCAAATGGAGGCGAGGCTCGTCGAACTTTGGAGCCAGCATAGATGTCTGTTCAATGTTTCGTGTTTGTTGTTTACTTTCGTGTGTCGCTTCTCCTCTTAATCCGGTGTGATCCACGTTGATTGGCTGCTGAAATGAGGCGACGTTGCGCTACTTTCGTAGCGTAACTTGAGATTTGGAACCATGATGAAAAGTCATGATCGTGTAATTGGTCACCCCCTGCAATTCCTAGCCGGATAATTTGACACCCTCTAGGACAGAAAAGGCAGCGAGATTCGGCAACTTCAGTCATTAAATTTGACACGCTCTCATGTTGAGTCTTGTAGTGTGACAAAGGCTTTATCAGCTGAGTCATTTGTTTTCTTTTTGAGAGGTCAGATAACATTGTTTTACTAACTTCATCTCTCAAGGTTTTAATACTTTGTAATTAATTAACTTTGGCAATTAAGTTGTTTGCAGTGAGAGCACACCTAGTGATCCAAGGAAGTTATTATATGTAATGGAAATGTGTAGTTCTTTAAGGACTGCAGATGAAGGTATCTACATAATTACATGCTTCAGTTACATACTGGGTGAGAATCATTTAAGTTGGAGCTGTTAAGAACTAAAGCAAGGGTTTCAAACTCATTCACACTCATATTTTAATTAGATTTACATGAAAAGGTACTTGAACACACCATACCAGAAATACGTAGGTGTATACAGGTATCATTGATAAACTGCAGGATTGAAATGCAAGATATCCAGGCTCTGGGATTAGTGGTATTGTGCACAGGTCTTTTTTGTTCTTCCCACCCATGTTGTGCAAAAACATGTCGCTTTCAAAATAGATCTGTTTCATCATCAACTGGGCTCTTTTATTGGATAGAGGTAGAGATCCATAGGTAGGGTGGCATATGTTTGACAGATAGAAAAACATTGCTAAGTGTGTTGTGTTCGAGTGTGGGCTGAGAAGGCTTGGACAAATCCAAGATGAGGTTCTGACTACACCTGCGACAAAGGTGTAGGAATAAAGAAGTTTGGTGGGCCATGAGCTGTATCTTTGACGCTACTGACCTAAGGGTTTTTGTTTTGAGATTGTATGTTTTAGTGATGTGGACCAGAGTTACTGTTTTATGTCTATCTAGTGATTTAAACACTGATATAAAGGAAATCAATCTTGGATTAAAACATTTTGTAATATAGAGCATCAGAAAGGGTTTTGTGTCATTTTATGTTTCAATGTTCATACTTTTGTCATTCGTTTTTGTCGAGTTTGAATATTCATGTTGGTACTTGAATACATTATTTTAGGTAGGTGCTTAAAATCACTTGAGATCCTGTAGGGGTTTTGACCTTGCATTAAATGGCTGCTGAAAATAAATGAGAATTGATGGCTTCACCTAAGAATGTTATTTAATTAAATGAAGTCTTTCTAGCTCTAGTGGGTTTTATAATGGAAGTGCTAACATGTTTCTAGTAAAGGCAATTTTTTTTAAATTAGTGTTGTAACTATACAGAAACAAAAATATACTCAAGAATAGTTATAACTGCTTATAAGTTGTTT